TCCGTACCTCTCAGTGTCAAGATGGCGACGAAGTTTCAAAATGTCATGAACGAAGATGTCACGGCACAAAAAGACGCTTTAGAAAACCTGAACACACGAAAGAGCACATCAAGATGGATTCTAACAGGCATTTTGTCGAAAAACTCTGAACTTAAGCCAAATTTAAGCTCTAAACGTTCGAGAGAGTGCAGGAGTTGTCCATCGATACGATCCAGGATAAACGTGTCAAAAATCCAAGATTGCTAACGTAATTCGTCACCCATGATATTAATAGGTAATCAAATGGTATACTCGTGAAATCAGGGAATAATTTCACTTGCGTTTTGTCCAAATCCTAATAATTTCCCTCGCCTAAAGGCTCGTCACCATTTGATTACACATACTAATTATTTTTATTCTCGATTTTTTGACCAACTAGTTGGATTTTACTGAAACAATTATTCCTCGAGCCCGAATGGGCCCTGAGTCAATAGCCCAGCTAGTTAAAGCTAGACTTTAATCCTTTTTTGCCGCCAAAATCCCGCGCTTTTCGCTACTAGTGGGCTATAACATATAGCCTAGTAGTAGCTCAACCAATCAGAACGCGGCATTGATAATAGACCACTACTTGGATTTTACTAAAAGGCGGTAGACTGAAATCATTGCTGCCATTGATGCTAAAAAATAGTAATTGGTTGAAGACGATGAGAGGCTCGCTGAGTCACGTGCTGTTTTAAAAAAACGTGAAACAACTACTAGCAGTTCCCAGTTCGATGTGTAAATAAATTATCATCTGACAATCATTTGTCGATGAGTTATTGGCATAATTTGTTAAAATTGCGCCGGGTACTTTGTCTCTTGCATGAACAAGCCAGTTCTGCAAGACCAGGCAGTGAAAAAAGAAAAAAGGTCACGATGTGTGTTTGTTGGTTTTTTGGTTGAATATATCTAGGCACCTCTGAAAAAAAAGAGTAAGCTGTTGCTTCTCAGCATACTCCTCCAAAGACATCCGTTGGGGTCCCAATGTGGGTACAAAGCATTCTTAACAAAACAGGAAACTATTTATATTTTATTAATATGTCTTGAGAGAAAAGAGTCTCTTGAGCCTGTAAGTTCGTACGCCATCATTTTGAAAAAATGAATTTATCGGCGTCACCTTTTCACAGCATGTCTAGGCGCCGTTCGCAAATTAAACAGGCAGGGTTAAAAAACAAGAACGGGCAGCAACAACATTCTTAGTTTCTCATCGATTGAGGCGGACTCGTTTGTCAACATATTCAAAGTCGTTTCGTTATTTGCACAATAGACGCCAAATTCAACCTTAAAAACCAGTAGGCTAAGGAAAGATAGCTACTACAACTCTTACTGCTTATCCCCATAAAACGTTGCATCATTGAACGCACAGCGGAAACGGTTTCTGTCAATTATCAATCTTCCAACGTTAGGACACTGTCGAAAACATCCCTTATGTCCCTTTCCCATTGCCTTCTCGGTCTTCCTCTTTCTCTTTTCCCATCTAGCTTTCCCTCTAAAATGAGCAGATTAAGCCCTCACTTCTTTTCAAATGGCCAAAATATATTCAGCATTTGTTTCTCACTTATAAAAATCTTTAACCACTTTTAGTTCCTACCTAACTGACTTATTTCTGCTGTGCTTCGTCCATGACATTTTTAAAGTTTCCTAAATGAACTATGGAGAAAATGCATGTTCTAAGAATTCGTAGTTTTGTTTGAGGATCTTGACCATTCGACAAGAATTTTAACTTCGACAGCTTGTTGGTTTCTTCATTCGTTGCCATAGCGAGCCTCCTCATGCTTTCTATTTCCTCCAACCTATCTCATCTCCCAATATTGTAGATCCTTAGAGATAAACATATTTGGAAACCCATTCCGAGATTTCACCATTGGCTTTTATTTCTATTTGGCGATCTTCCTTTTTTTGTCGGTCTTCATAAGCTTGGCCTTTTTTTTGCATTTAAGTTCAAGCATTTCTCACCACCATGTTTGTCCACTGCCTCAACAACATAAGATAATCCCATTGCACCATGGGATAGCAAGATAGTATCGTCCGCTTGATTTTATGTCCATGGACATTCAGCTCGTTAAAGTCTACTGATTCCCCTTTTTCTCCAACATCTGTCGTGATATCTTCTGTATATATATTAAACAGAGAGGCGAGAAAGAAAGGTGGCACTGTCGCCTATGATAGTCCCGCTATATGGCCGTAAATAAAACAGCTAAATAGTGCACTTTTGGGTAAAAGCATCAAACTCGGCACAATGATAGTATAAGTTGTACCAATTTTTTTATTAGCTGTGGAACCCACTCAAATATGCGCAGGGGAGGCACATTGTGCCTTTTTGAGGAATGGTCATGGCCGTTTTGGTTTGGTCAGGAAAACACACAAAGAAGTCGGGAAAGCGGTGTGAAAAACTGCCGCATACCCATCTTCTTGAAAGGCGCACAAGATGATGAACCCTATAGAATACTTGTTACCTACTTTTTCGAGAGAGCTGACAAAATACATGCACCCTTTGATAATGATAACTCCAAGCCACTTCACTAATAGTTTTGAGATACCTCCTGATGGAAGTCAAAAGTTTACATGTAAGAGCGTACGGAAGTAGGGAAGAAAAAGAGGCCCGGACAGAAATAGCTGGTTTTTGCTCGCTCGATTGTATTAGGCTTAGCCATTTTTTACCCTCAGAAAGATCAGAATTGCTCTTTTTAGGAATTTAGCAGCGCCAACCTTTTACAAAAATAAAACATGAGACAGTTACAGAGACGGATTCTTTTATGCAACAGGGACTGGGTTATCAGCCACTTCATATTTTCAATAATGTATTGGTCCTTCTTTCAATCTAGATATATTTTCATCTTTAATATCAAAGATAAAATTACTGAGGAAAAAAGAAAGAAATGAAGGAAAAAGCCTTTAACAAAAAAATTTGTGTCAGAAATCGAACGACACATTAGTGCGTTTTCTGCCAAAACGATTGTATAGGTCTCCGGAACATATTCGTGTAGGTCTTTTGAAACACCACAACTGACTAAAGGCTGACAAAAAGAAAAGTTTCAATTAGAAAGTTATTCCGTGAAAAGCAACCTAAATGGCACAAATTTAGTGTAGAAATCAGTTTGAGCACTGAAAAGCGAGCACTAAAAGTAAAAGCGAGTGACAGTGATGAAAAGATGATGATGGTAGAAAGAAGTTTCCCTAACGCAGCACTGTAGATATAAAGGTCTTTTACGCTTTACAAGAGAGCTGCAAGAGTCCGGCAAAAATCAAATGATGATGATGATGATGAAACCGTCAAACACGTAAGATAAGATCGTAAGATCGCATCTGTAGATGATTGTGTCGAGTTTCAAGATGACCTCTTGTCTGCCGCCTCCTGGTGTGACTTGTGGAAGGTCACGCTGAAGTCGGAAAAGTCTAAGGCTCTACATGTTACCAAGTCCAATTGTCCTTTAGTTCATGAGTATGTGATAAATGAGAATAATCTGTCGGCTGTTGATAAACATAAGCACTTGGGCATTTGGATTGAATCTTCTTTAAGGTGGGACGCTCATATCAATTATATTGTTGGTAAGGCAAATCGAGTATTGGGTCAAATAAGGAGAACGTTTGGGTCTAAAGATCCTGTGTCAATCAAAACAGATTATATCGCTTTAGTTCGTCCTATTCTGTCCAGAATATTCCTGCCCAGTGTGGAATCCATATTTGGTTAAACAGTGACCAGGGGTTTTATTAGAAGCCGGGACCCGGGTACCGGCACCCGTCTACTCTGAGCACAGTACCCGCCTTCGCCGAAATAGGTCTCAAGTAGACAAATACGAAATCAAAAGCCAGACTAACCGAAACTTCTTTTCACCGCTTTCCCGCCTTGCCAGGGGAGTCTAACCAGGAATTGCATCTCTGAATTACATTTCTTTTCTTCATGAAAACTAATATTTCAGTGTCCGGATTACCGAAGGATATCTCTACCAAAGGGATAAATTTCGAAGTTTGATCGCATTGCACGAAACGCATCGCCTGCGTTTTCAAAGTAGTTACCAGGACCTACGCTCTGTCATGCTGTTACATAACATTTGCACGTGACATTTCACGCTACCAAAAGCACTTGCTTAAAATGGCGAAGAATGCTAGTAAAAGACCTCACGTCCAAGGCGTCTTAGATAATTTCTTTCCAAAGAGGGCAAAAGGTGAGTCATTAATACATTACAAGTTATCTTTTCAACATAATGAACTTGCACTGGCGGATATAAATAAAGTGTGCGTTTTGCATGTCAAAAGAGTCATTGAACCGCAACCACCTTTGAATACAAGCAATCAACCGGCTCCTCTTTGGTTTTACTCTAAGAACTTCGAAACCTGCTGAATTGTATGGTTAGTGCAAATTCCTAACAGTTATAACAGGATGGTTAATTAAATTTCCCAGCAAACTTATCCGAAATAAAAACAAACATTGCGTGAGGTCCGAGCTGAGGCCGCGGATGTTGTCCCATGAACATTAAGCTTACTTTTACGAGCGAGCCGATATCTATATTCATGGTAGAAAAGATTGCGTAAAATCTGGAAAGTCAAAAAGTACTTACAGTATGTATCGCGTAACTTGAAAAGAGATGTTTACAGTGGAAATCTTTTAAAACACTAAAAAAATGTCTACAATTATAGAAGCATAAAAGAAGTAACATTAAAAGGAATGTCAAGCTAAACTTCGTGTACACATACAATTTATAAGCTTAATTCTTCAGCAGCTCATAAAACAAACGACACAAAAAACTACTGCAAAAGGTAAATGGAAATCCGCCAAAAATGTAACTCAGCATAAGTGACAGGGTGAGGTTTATGCATTGCATATTGGACCTTTCTTTGGCAGATGATTCAACAATGCCTCTAGTACAAGCAGCAAGTGAAGGGGTAGAAACTCAGTCGTCTAATGAAGCACTCTCACATACCTCACGGCAAGTAGAAAAACCCGAGGGCCAAGTGTATCTAAAGCAATAGCAGATGACATTATGTTATTAGAAATAGAGAAATGTGGACTTTCTAACCTGCACAACTACTACGATTGCAAACAGAAAAGCTGCAAAGATTTCTCAGAAGAAGAGGAGGCCAGGCAGAAGAAGCTGAAGAAGAGACGATTTCACCACAGCTGGGTCGAAGAAAGAGAACTAGCCTATGATAAGACCACAGGCATCTGGTGGCTTCTGTTCTCGGAAAACCAAGGCATGTTTTGTTTTCTTTGCTGTAAACATAAAACTTTGAACACCCAGAACAATGCTGCAGTATTCAGCACTACACCCAGCAAAAGATACAGGAAAGAGGCCATCAGAGAACATTCTTCAGCCAAAATGCATCAAGCTGCTGTGGAAGCTGAAATGAATCAAAGGGTGTCAATGTTTCATCAACAGTATGAAGAAAAGGAAGCAGTTCGCAACGATGTATTGTACAATGCTTTTGCAGCCTTGTATTGGTTAGCAAGGGAGGCAGTTGCTAATGTTAAGTTCTTTTCTTTGCTAAACCTGTTTCGTGCTGTTGGGCTAGACAAAATGCAGCATTTTAATCACAAATCTCCCGCTGCAGTGAGAGAAATGTTCCTGACAAGTGGAAATGTGGTCAAGAACATGATTATAAACGAAATAAAGAAAGCAGGGTCTTATGGCCTTCTAATTGATGAAGTAACAGACGTCTCTGTTACTGAGCAATTAATCACGTTCGTGCAGTTTTGGAACAGCACTTCTGGTGGCACAGAGATTAAGTTTCTTAGTGCAAATGATCTCCTTGTTGAATCTGAGTCTGCAAATGCAGAAACCATAACGAGGACTCTTGTAACAGAGTTAAACCATTGTGACTTGTCAGTTGGAAAGCTCAATGGCCTTTGCACGGATGGAGCATCCGTGATGACTGGAAAAACCAGTGGGGTGGCCACCAGGCTGAAAGAGTTGAACAAACACCTCGTCAGTGTTCACTGCATCTGCCATAAACTGTCCCTTGCTTGCTGTGACACTAATGATGATATCGCATACATGCAAGAAGTTGAGATGGCTTTTTCAGATCTGGAAATTTTTTGAAAATTCCCAAAACGACTTTGCAGCATATCTGAAGACCCAACTTAACGTGAAAAAGCTGCAAGAGCCTTCAAAAGAGGCTAAAGATAAGTGCGTCCGTAGACTTGCTAAGGCTACTCGCACGAGGTGGCTCTCTCTTGGCAAGGCTGTAGAGGGTGTACATATGGATTACGTACCACTCATGCTTACACTAAAGCAACTTGACCAGAAAGATGCTCAGGCGTCAGGTCTTCTCGGAAAGATGCACAAAGTGAAATTCATTGGGGTGGTAACAGTCATGCATCACGTTCTTCCTGTTCTCAACAGACTCAGCTGTGCTTTCCAACAAGGAAAGGTTTCCTTCTCCCATATAAAGCCAGCAATTCAGAAGTGCACCGATGACCTTGACAAAATTGCCCAGATGGGAGTTCCAGTCACTGAGTTCCTTAGAGATCTTTCACCTGGAGGCAGATTGGAACAAGCTGATCTTACTGCGTCTGATAGAGATAAGCTGTTTCTCACCAATTTCCTGGTGAAATATGTCAATTCACTGAAAGAAAGCTTAAGTAGCAGATTTCCTGCCCTTCCCCTCCTGCCTGCTTTTAATATTTTTGACCCTGCACAAGTTCCAGAAAGGGCCAGCCAGGATTCAGGGATTATGGCAGTGCAGCGGTGAAACTTCTGGCTGAGCAGTTCTTTGATGACGAAAGCGACAAAAAGCAGTTGATGGATGAGTGGCAGGTATTCAAGTACGACTTGGCAAAATGGAAGAACGAATTGCCTGAGGAAGTTAGAAAGCTCTCTGGTGGAAGCAAACCTACAGTCACTTCAACTGATTGGTGCCTCCAGAAGCTAATGTTCATGAAGGACCTGGTCCCATTTAATCTTCCACTTATTGCAAAGTTGGCAGAGGCAGTGATCTCTCTTCCAGTGTCGAATGCATGGCCGGAAAGGGTGCCAGTTCTTTAAAACTGATGAAGACAAGGCTTCGAAGTAGAATGAAGAATGACATGCTCAACGCTCTGCTACACATTCTCATCAATGGTCCTAAAGTGGGAAGTAAGGAATTTGAAGGAGTGATTGATGCTTCTGTTAGAGCTTTAGTTAGCTGCCAAACCACGCCGAAAGTGTCCTCCAATGTTTGTCAGCACACAACTGGTCGCCAATTCAAGTGGTATAAGTGAGAACGTTGTAACGGTAACCATGCAGGATGCTGGTGTGCAGACAAATGATGACAGCGTCATTCAGCCAGTTCAACGTACAATTGCAGATGAAGTAGATGAAACCTCAAAAGCATTGGAGCTACCAGCAGATGATGATGATGATTCAGATTACGGCTCTGACTTTGAATTTTCCCATGACATATAGTCAATAGTGTAGTCCTTTTAAGCTTCATACATTAGTTGCCCGTATTTAGGATTGACTTTAAGTTTTCTTCATGAATGAAAGCAGCAAACAGTACAGGAGGAGTTCATTCATGAAACTCTACGATCTATATAATGTTTGTTTCAGTTATTATAATTTAAATCAAAAGGCAAGTGTGGCTCACTATCTAACAAACTAAGCAATATACCGGTAAGCCAGTAAGTTTGGTTCATTATTCATACTGTTATATTATGTATTTAGTAAATTCCCTGAGGCTGCAAAAAGTTACAAAATTAGTTACATTATTGGTTTTCATGAAGTCAATTTGTGCTTGTCAATTTAGTAAATTTCTAAGGCTGTAAACAGTTACAACATTGCTAGTATAAAGTAAAGCTCCGCAAATTATTCACAATTTTCGTTTGCAAAATGAGGGAATAGAATTATAAATTTCCAACTCAGAATGCTGGAAAATGCATTTCCGAGAGTCTAATTTTCAAAAATTTTCCGGGGGAGCATGCCCCCGGACCCCCCTAGAGGCTCGGTCCTTCGGCCCTTCGGTATGTAGGGCTGCCCGCTTACTCTACCACGAGAACCCTCCTACTTCAAAAATTAATGAAAACCCTGTTAAACACATATACAGTATTGAATCCATTCAGCGTCGTGCTACTCGATTGATATGTGGATCTCATAATTCTTACACTGAAAGGCTCACTGAACTAAACTGGTCAACATTGGAGCTTACAAGAAAATACCTTTGCCTGGTTCAACTTTACAAGATAATTCATGGCTATTCTGATATTGATTATACCACATATGTGGATCTGACTGGCCCGACAAGAACTAGAAGAAACCATGACTTTAAAATCAGGCCTAGAGCAGAATAGCCTATTCCAGGCTCCGAGATGGTCGTGGAAAGTCGTTCAGTAATAAGAAATGCGAAAAACGCGCGGGGGCTGGGGAGAGACAGGGCGTCCCATTTTTCTCGCCGCCACCGCCCCCTTTCCCAAGTCGTGCGCGTCTTATTTTCGCTTTGCTCGTTTTAATACGTTCCCACTATACTATCTGAGAGCCTGGCACAGGCTAAGAGCAGCAAGGACAAACTATTTTAAATTTTCATTTTTTAATCGTTACGTTAATGACTGGAACTCTTTACCAAACTTAGTTATGTCTGCTTCCAGCTTGAACTCTTTTAAAACTTTATTACTTAAAGGGACTGGTTCACGATAATGCGCATGTGTGAGTTCTGACAGTAGCTGATTGTTTTTCAACCAATCGCAAGCGAGTTAGATGCACGCAAGTAAATTTACAAAATTCAAATTAATTGTTCGCGACGCGAGAGTATTTCCGGGCATTTGGTTTGATTTTATTTATCCCCATAATTCAAGTTTATTCTTTGCTACTACTCAGATATATGTTGCAGCCGATAAGAATAAGATTTACAGCCCTGTCCTGCTTTGAAACAAACATTTACCAACGTGTATTTTTACGAGGTCGTACCCACGCTAACAAAACAGTCACCGATCGGCAAACAAAATTTGTAAACAAACATCTTGTTACTGTTCTCTCACTTCGCCTTATATTAACCCAGAAATACCTACAAATAGCGGCTGACCGGTGACAAAAACACACAAGGTATGAGTATAAAGATTATCCTTAATTGAGCATAAATTTCAATTGCTTATCAGCAAATGAACAAATTCATTCGCGTTGCATCGGGTCAGTATTCCACAAAACAAATGTTATCGAGTAGCACACATAAAGAAACTAGATTATAAACAGAATATTCAGGCAATAATTTATCTTAAAAACATCAACTCTTAAACATATACGATCGTAAAGCAAAGATACAAGGAACATTTCAAGTGTACCAGATCGGTGAAGATTGCGCGGCCTGTTGCGGTATAACTACAGGTCGGAGTCAAAAATCAAATCAAACTCATGCCTTTAACCACTTTCTAAGTGTCGTGTATTCTTTTCGTAAGTCACACACTACTCCTAGAACCATACCAGATCGATAGGCTAATTAAAAAGCTTCTCTATCTCCAAAGACTCTTGAGAACATCCTGTTGCCGGACGGCCACGATGCTCTTCTGAACCTCCATGATCAAAACATTTTTTTTTGCGTCTTCTTAAAACGTAACCAGTCAAACGACACAACCACACGTTAATCACCACTACCGAAGTATAACTAGACCAGCCAAAGCGACGGATGTCCGAATAAAACGAAGGATTTTCAATGATTGTACCGGTAATGGCGATTTCGAATTTAGTGTTGACCCAACAAATTTATTCTGAAGAGACAAACGGCGCGCATGCGTATTATCGTGAACCAGTCCCTTTAATTATCTTTGTAAATAGTCATATGTTTATTATTTGCTACTGAATGTGGATTTTCCTTTTTATTTAATATCTAAGTAGTTTATTTAGTTGTTGTTGTTTTTTTTTTCTCTTAGTATCACCTGATGTATAGTTATGTATTAGTTTTCTATTCTTAATTGTTTAACTTTTCGTTTTGGAGGGCAGTTTTTATATGGGAATTCAGTTTCCCCCTATTGCTTTCCTTTACCTACCGTACTTTTATATATGTATATATAATTTTATTTTGTACATTGGTAAAAAGAATTATTAAACTTATACTTAAACTTAAACAAATTCTATGACGACTCCATAAGCTAAGGTACTGCGCTTCCATCCCCCTCCCCCTGCCCCTAAGCTGTGTTCAACCCTCCTCCCCGCGCCATTTAGAAAGTTAAAGTAGTTAGACTTAGTTAAACTGACTTCCTCAGGACATCATGCCGTACTGATATTGCAGGAGTCCAACTCATCTTTACAGCCTTCGTTTCGATAACAGCGGCTTATTTGGAAACTGCAATCACACCAACCCCCCCTCCCATAGTACAAAATTTTCTCCCCTGACTGGGTTCCGTAGCTAATGTTTTTCAGCAACCTAAGTACCATTACAAAACCAAATTGGTGCTTTTACTCCTAAGTGCACATTTTTTTCACCATATGGCTTGAGTATAAGGTTTCACAATTTGTCACGGTTCAAATTTTACTTCCTACGTATTTTAAGGTTAAGTTATTGACATTCAGATAAGCTAATATTCCTGACCTACGACGCTAAACACCTGCCAAAATCAGGCGCAAAAGGACTATGAACGTTTTAGCCAATTTATTTTCGCTTACGAAAGTTCACACATGGTGTTAAATACCCTTTAGCAAAAGGATTGTAGAGGTTTCATATTCAATGGAAGCAGCAAAGCGGACAAATAGCAATGGTTAAGCCGAAATATTCAACAAATTCAGCAACTACAGTATATACTTGGAAAGAAGAACATCATATTTCATCAATTTAACAGTGAGACATGTCGTTCAGGAGCCTGAGTTTGGCTTAGTTTAAGGTTTTTCAAATTTGGAGAACCAACCTCTCTACTGCTGCAGCCTCGGATACAGTACCATAAATAAAACCTTGCATTGTGAACTCAAGACAACCTTGATAGAAATACTTCAGCTTCCAAGTTTCTTTTACCTAAGATTCAAACAGGTTATATTCAATGAATTCAGCTGACAATTTCTATTCGACGTTCGTTATTAACTGCGTCTTTAACTCCCTCTTGTGTTTCACCGCCATCGTGTTGAACATTGTCACAATAATCGCGCTGAATAAAGCCTCCTCGACATTACCAAAGAATTTCAGGACTTTGCTCCTGACTCTTTCTGTTTCTGATCTTGGTGTTGGTTTGTTTGTCCAACCTTTGAATACTGCAAGGCTTTTCATGATGATAAAAGAAAAAGATCAAACTAGAATGTTTGAGATTACGTTGAAAAGTTTTTATCTCATAGGGAATTTCCTCTTCTATACTTCTTTTTTTAATGTTATGGCTCTAGCCATAGACAGATTTTTGGCAATTCATCTTCATCTCCGATACCAGGAACTCGTAACTCATAAGCGTATTGTTGCTTTGGTCACTTCGATTGTGATTTTCAGCTTAATTCTGACGTTCCTAGTGAAGTGGTCTCCACGAAACGTTACCTCCACTATTACAGTAGTTATTGAGTTTCTTTGTTACATAACTACAGTCTTGGTGTATATCAAGATTTATTTAACCTTACGACACCACACGAATCAAATTCATGTCCTCCAAGCTCAACTGGAACAGAATGGGAATGTTATAGCGAATGCTGCGAGGGATAGAAAAGCGGCTGTTGGTACATTTTACTTGTATCTTGTGTTCGTCGTTTGTTATCTACCAATCACGTGTCATTGGGTTACATCTCAAATTAATGGGCCAAATGCAGCATTAAAGCAGTTTAGACTTTATGCTAACACAATGGTGCTCCTTAATTCCTCTCTCAACCCACTAATCTACTCCTGGAAGTTAAGACATGTTCGACATGCTCTCAGGAGCGTATTACCATGTTAAAAGACCTGAGACAAAACTGACAGAGCTGCTGTTTTCTTGGAGATAAAACAGCCAGACAACACAAGAAAAACTTTGTATATCTGTGTGAAGATTTCGATTTTTCGCAATTTCAACACGTTTTGGTACTTTTTTAAAAGACATTCCAGGTATGGAAGTTGTTGTAGACTTTACTATTAGCGTAAGGTAGACTGATATGGGCACTTTAATGATATTTCCATGACGCAGTGTCGTTAAGACGCGAAGGTAATTTATAATCTGTCGTTTAATAGTTCATACCAATTTGAATGTATTAGTTGAAACCCATGGGTAAAACAAGATCAGACTTGGAAAATTTGCAATAATTTAGCCTTCAAAAATTAGGTGTGTTTTTTTTCAATAAGTGGGAAAGAGAAATAGAGTAGTATAAGAACATTAAAAAACCACAGAGTGAGCTGAGATATAGACATCACTATAAGTTAGCCTACATTATGGCTCTTGGTATAAGCCAAAGCGACTGAAACGTGGATTTAGTTTAAGACGTAAGATAGAAATAAAAGCTCTTGTCGTTGCTGCACACGATCAAGCTATACGTACAAATTAAGGGAAAGCAAAGATCAAGTCGCCGATTGATCCTAAGTGTAGAATGTAAAGGTGGAGTGATGAGACCTGATCGGCCAAGTGGAGAGGAAAGCAAACATATTGTGTTCCTTAGCGTCTCTGGGCAACTTGATGTTACCCGAAGCCAGAGAAGAAACCAGCTTTAACATCATATCAGCAGTGTAAAATTTCAATAATCATATAATAATAACTGAAGAAACGACGTTTATCTCGTATTCATATTTATCATTCTTAGCGTGACTCAAAGCTGGTACAAGCTTTAAAGTGCTTGGTAATACCTTTTTTTAACTCACTTGTTCCTATTTTAACAGGTCATGAACATTAGCTTATTGAAAGGTCTTAACTAAAAGCGCCAAAAGTTAATGGATTTGGCTTTCGTATGGTACGCATAGTTACACCGACTGAGGACGTTAAAGTGCATTGGCCGTCGATTTGCCCCTGGTCTAATTTCGACTTTTCGTGTAGCATACAAAAGCAGAAACCAATAATTGTTTTATTATTCATTAAAAATTTATTTATTTATTCATTTATTTATAACTTTAAAACATGCTATCAAGCAAGAAAAAAGTGTCCGTTGTCCGCAGTAACTAGACTACGACAGGAGCTGACTACGAGTAGTCAGCCATTGTTCCTCAGGGATAATAGAGCAAGCAAAACGCGAGCGCGCGTGTAAATCATCCCATGCGAGAAAGGCGAGACGCGTTGGGGAGGGAGAAAAATGAGCTCCCCCCACCGCGTTTCGCCTTTCTTGCGTGGGGTGATTTTCACGCGCGCTCGCGTTTCACTGAGGAAAAATGGGGAACCACTCGTAGTCTAGGCAGTAACGGGTGTCCGTATTAAGCGGGTTGAATTTAGAGAAATTGTGTGGACTTTCCCCAGGGGCAAAGAAAACTGTCCGTAATAACAAGGTGTCCGTATTAAGCGGGTGTCCATAATAAAAGGCGGGATTTGACGGTAGTTTCGTTTCCCTCGCTCTCGCGTGCCGCGTGACTTTTCACGGTATCCCACAAATAGAGAGCTTGCTCGCAGGCTAAAAGACCGCTTTCACTTGTACAAGGGCTGAGCACATGTGTAAGGTACTGGTAAAGTTGTGGGTTGGTGAATGTGTCACTTGCTCTTAGGTTTCTATACTTACTTCTTGGATGCAATTTCGACGGAATACCAGCAAATAGGGACAACCTTGCCCAGGGGAGGTGCAAATAAGGAGAGAGAAAGCAGAGAAAGGGCATTGAAATTGAGTTGCTGAGCTGAAATGGAGGGGAGAGGAAAAAAAGCTTTGGCAACCAAACACTTCAACAACTGTGCTATTCCGCCTTTATTGATAATTTTTTTGACATATATTGCTAATTCAGATTGCAAAATTTGAGCGAGATTAGAAAAAAGGGACGTCAAAGTTTGACTTTCAAAAGTTTCTAGAAATCGTGGGCCTTAAAAATGCAGTCAATAGTAAATGTTCTAATCTCTGCATTGCTTTTATCGATTCAATCGATTTTAGGTATTCGTACCCAGTCCCCTGCTCCTTTATAACATGGTTAAATTCAATAAAACAGGCACGCAGTATGCTATGGGATGGATTACATCTAACGTAGCAAGTTTCAAAAATCTGACTTAGTGCCTTCAATTAACTAATTAGTTAGTTACCTTTTTTTTTAGCAAAATAAGAACGCAAACGTTGCTTACAAATGAATAAAATAGTCGTGAAAACGCTTTTTTTCCCACGGGTTTGCCTACAAAATGTTGGTGAGAAGTCAAGGAAACAATGTCAAACCCCGACTGACATCAATTATTGTAAAAAAATCCTTATTATCATGACATAAGCGCTATAAATAACTTTCAAGTTAGCTGTATAGTTCACCAGAAATAAGTTTTACTTAATAAATAACGAGAGTATGATAAATATACCAATCGAATATCTGTGCAGTAACATGAAGTCTGAACGTGTTCCGTTGCTAAGCGTAAAGACTTTTCCCCAACGGGGCCTATTTTCTTGGGGAACGTAGGAGGGAATGAACGCACGAGCTCTAAGACTCCCTCCAGCTCGAATTAGGAAATACCGTAAAATTCCGAAAATAAGCCCCGGGGCTTATATTTTTCAAAGGCCCTTCTTGAGAGGCTTATTTTTGGAGGAGCTTATATTTGGAGGGGCTTATCTATGGAGGGAAATTTGCGTTTCAAAATCGATCGGGCTAGCCTCATAGTTGGAAAGAAATTTACCGTTTTTGCTTTGTTTTACTCTGTACTTGAGGGCAATTTCCCAGTACAAGTCCTCGGGGGGCTAATATTTGGAGGGGCGATTTAACGGAGGGTTTTTTGCGCTACGAGTTTGTGGGGCTTATATTTGGAGGGGCTTATTTTCGGAATTTTACGGTATCTAAAAAAGAAGAAACTTCCTTGCCTAATTCCACTGTGGTTTTCCTCTGGCGATAGGATCCTTTATGGGTCCGGTTGGAATAAACTTGGGTTGAACCAACACCTTTTCTTCTACTATCTTGTCTACGAATAAACATGACAGCAAAAGTGAGATTAAAGTAAAGCGGGTTAATGAGAGCAATGACATATATTGAGCTTACTTCCGTAAAGTTTCTTCATTACAAAGCAAATGCATGTAGAATCTAGATCTAGGAATTTCAATCCATACTCTTTGCAACTCCTTTTGGTCGACTACAACAGTATGCCAGAAGGATAAGGAAACGAGATCAAATTAATGCTTTAACAACCTTCTTCAAGGACTTCTCAAGGACAATTCTATTTTTCAAGCCAGAGGAATTGGTTTGCACACAATTATACACAAGTACCTCTTAAGTCGAACCAGAAACACATAAGGAGTTGAACGTTTCTGGTCGAACGAATTGGAGGATTAGCAAAGAAGGATGTATCGACAACTTGAACATGAAAACGTGGTCTATACACCAACAATTGCACAGATGATGACACCGCCACGAAAATCAGACCGGACAGGGCTTCTGTTTACACAAAAGAAGGGTGATTTCTGTGATGGAGCAAAACTGCGCCGCGCCAATCTCGATAGCGGATACAGAGTTAAGGCTTCTTAAGTCAAATAGCTATGGGTTGTCTTTGAATTAAAACGTTGTGTGTTCTAATCGCTCATTTTCTTTCTTAAATCGCTTAAACACCATTACAATTTCATTCATTTTACTCGGAAATATGCCCTTCAACACACGCCCACCGATGAAGCTGGAATCTGGACATCCACATGATCCAGTGTGCACTCTGAGCAAGCAGAAACATCTCCTCGACAGTTCCTCAGGGAAAAAGAGGATGGTACGAGGGCTCTCAAGTGAATGAGCTGCTTACAGGTGTCTAGGCGTGCAGCGAGCTCACACTGCCTTGTAAATGCAAATGTGTAAAAAATTTAAAGTGTTAATAATTCCTGGAGAGGTATTTTTTTTTGTCGATCTTAAGAATAGTATTACGAGCGAAGCAAATTGTAATATAATTTTAACTGCACGAAGTGAGCGCGTAACATTACGGCTCAAGAGGTCTCTCATTCGGACATGTCAAAATTTTAACTATTTCCGGTCCTTGTTTTTGGGAGAAGATGACCGAGCTGGGATTGGGTTCTTTTGTTTAGGATGTAATTCCTTTGGGTGTTAATGTTATCGTATCACAACTTTGGAAGCTGGCTTGAAGATCTTTTTTAACAATTGACATGTAGTTATTACTGGTAAGCCTAACACCGCGGCAAAACGTCTACGCATGCGCCAGGTTGAGCATTTCCGGTCTCTTTTTCAGTCACACTTTCCAGTCAGATCAAAGTCTCCCACGCGCTCGGCTTCACTCTGTGTGCAGCTTGTGGTTCAGTTGTTCTGCTTCATGCTACTCGTGTTTTTGACTATTTCGTAGTTATTGAAATTGCTTTTATGGATAACCAGGCACAGATCACTGAAACAATTACTCGATTAGATTCAGAAAAGGTAAGTTGATAATAACTCAGTGTGTAATTTTGGCTAGAGCGTCAGGTAAACTGATTTTCATTCACGAAAACAAAGTTTTTGACTGTTATTTTTCACTTAACCTGGCTGAAACTAAGACAAAAAAGTTGTCATTGCAAGCTTGTGTATTGTAGTTCTAATTTTCAGTTCTTCAGTATCTCAGTCTTCATGCCTTAAAGCCGATTCGAGCTTTATTTATTTATTTTTTATTTTCGTGTTTTGAAACGAAACTCTTCTGAGTTGATTGCCATGAAACATAAGCTTAAACATACAGCTGAATTTGGCAGCAAGTTGACAACTCTATTTATTTTTTTCATTCTCAGAATCAGAGAGCGAAAGCTGGTTCGATGGCTTTTAGAAGTCGAAATTTCATGCCATGTATTTAGTAGCTGAAAGTTTCGTGTTTGCGTGAGATGCAGTCGAGCCGCACAGTCTGAAATTATTGAAGTCTTCACGGACCATAGAACAACCAAAGAACAACCATGTAAAAGAATTAAATAGGCATTTTCTTGAATGAAAGTCTTTATAGGCATGTTTAGTTTCCCGGCACCTGCAAACTTCAAACATCATTTTCACCGTTGGTGCAAACAGATAACCATGTGGTGCAAAAGTTTGACACTAGAAAAATATATAAGCTTTCGAATGAAGTGATTTTTTTGGCCCCCTTTTTTGTCTGTTTCGCCCTTTTTGCTTTTAAACTTGGCGCGACGGCAATGTCATGCTTACGCAATTGGTTTATATACTAGACCGGAAATAAAAAGCTGACCGGATGTTAAATTTTGTGCTCATGCGCAATGCGTTTTGCCGCGGTGTTGGTAAGCCTTAGCAGTGACACTGATAGCCGCACAACGAACATAGCTACACTTACCGAGTGGAGACTGGGCACTAGTTAGTACGCTTGTAAAACTATTGTGAATAGTGTAACAACAACTAAACATTACCAAAATAAAAATTGAGAAATTTCAGTTGCGCATTTTTTCTAAGCCAAATCAAACAAAAAGAGCAGGACGTAAACAAGCAACGAAGAAATTTTATTTCTCTTTCTGAGCTTGAATAATGGTCACTTGACATTCAGCCTCAGGAGGGTTCGCCTACATTTGACAAAGTAAGTGGGTAGGAATAATCGCTGTAAAGACTGAAAGAACGCAAATTCACTTTTTAAGCGACGTTCTCGTTGCCGTCGCGTCGTTGGATCTTAAAGGCCCTATTTTTTTAACTCCCATACAAACTCTGTATTTTTACATTCCCGTAAGAGGACAGTTCCAGTTACGGACACCTTTCTCGCGTACCGAGGGTGTCTGCTTCTGAGAGCTTTCACTGTATAGATTAAAGGGGCGCTTAATTTTTACCTATAACAACGAATTGGGTTTCCTGCGGTGGGGTGTGGTGGGTCCTTAAAACGCGAAATTAGGCGAAGTCGAAGTCGAAGTCGTCGAAGTCGTGCAAAAACAGGATTACAAGAAATGTACAAAAAAGCGTGATGTACGTGCAAAGTTGTTGTTTTGCTTATTAAACCTTTGACGTTCTCGTTGCCGTCCGCTTCGTTGGATCTTGAAGTTCCCTAATCTGGGTTTTGTGAAGGCGGCCGTAAAAAGAGCTTTCCGCTTGCGAGTGTGTCCGTTAAGAGAGCCTCAACTGTATTTAGAACCGTTTTTAAAGAGCACCCCCTGCATTATTAATCAGCAGGTGCCAAGCAAGCTCTGTGCAAAATTTGACTCTTTTGTCACATCTGTAACGATCCGGCCCATATTTTGCACTAAGAGACCTGACGATAACTCGAAAATCCACCTGGAAATACTAACTCGAATCCTAACTCGGAAGTTAGTATATCTCGAAAGTACACGACTTTTGTTGCCATCAAATTTTCCATATGTATTTCCCATTTTGGAAACCGCCGCCTATTGAATAGCTTAATTATGATTAATTATACCTATGATTAAGATAGATTCATTGGATAACTTGAATTGCGACTATTTCTTTACTCATCGAAAAAAAACCTTCAGATCGTTATTTTTTGTTATTTTTTAATTACAAATTCAACATTGCTCTTGTTAAGGTGTTTCGATACAGTTTCTCGGAGACCTTACCAATGTTTTTCAATCCCCTTAAAAGTGATCTTATCCTTGTCCGATCACCACAAAATTTTCACCAGTGATTAACTTTGAATTGAAGTTTGTCAAAATGCAGTTTCTAGTAAAATCGATACCACTGTGACAACAATAAACCAGAAACTTCAAAATCGATTAAATCCGAATTTCGCGCGATCTAGACCTGCTACTGAAAATCCGACACCAGGAACTTAAAGTGTGGTGTTAAGCAAATAACCTCCGTGAGAAGTAAAAAATTCTGCGTTTGAATTCAAATACAACGAAAATATATTCCAAGCCTTATACTTTCAATAACCGTGATAAAGTATTTAATAAAAAAGTTCTAAATTTATCAAATTTATCTTAAGTAGCGTCAGAAGGCTGCTTAATATCATATTTCGACGCTAGGAAATTTTGGTGTATTTCCTTTCTTGCAATCCTGAAAAATAACCTGTTTTCTCACCACCTGTTTAAGTGCAACTTTATTCTAAATTTTGACTTTTAGCGCTTTTCTGTTTATCTCTAAAACGGCTTGGTAGAATTCTTTTTAAACCTTATCATACAATCTCCATGATGTACATATATTAATGTCCAAAACTTTCATTGAGATTGGTTGTCTTACACTGGGCTGTTAAATAAGACTTAAGAGCTGCTAAGTTTTACTTAGTTAAGAATGCGTGTGTGAAGGCCTAAGTAAAATCTCAAGTAACTTTACTTTGCATCTCATTTTAATAAGTCGGAAAGTTGAAACGATTCAAGAAAGTTCAGGGACTTGAAAGAATAGCGGTTTCTAAGCTTTGAGAAAGGCGAAGCATGTCAATCAATCTTAATTATGTTGCGTGGGAAAATAGGCTTAAGTAAACCTGAAATAAAAAAGATAGGTTGTGTGTGAAGCTTTCTTTTACTTGAAGAATTTAAAATTTACTTGTCTTGAAATATTTCTTAGCTTATTTAGGCTAGTGAAAGACTACTATTCACTGCAACACCTTGAAATTTCAAGACGAATCTTGCGTACGAACCGACCAAAAATCCGCGTTACAACATTTACTGTTTTGAGTTACGCTAATTTTTCGAAATTAATGCTCATCATATATGTATAACACGCCCCTTTGTAACTAATAAACGCCTCATGTCTAATGGACGCCCCTCATGATATATCCTCTAAAAGACTAGGAAATAGCAAAGAGGAGCAATATCATTCCATTTAGTCAGTTTCTTGCCTATTAACAAAAGTTAAGGCTTGCGCCTTGCATCGAATACTTGAACTAACGAACTAAGATCGACTAACGCTTTCAGTAATGGTGAAGTCAACTGATTTGCCCCTCTTTCAGTGTCTGGGTGCAATGTTTCAGTGGTAAATATCGACTCAGGCCAAAGAAGAAATAAACCTGCTGAAAAATTGGCACATGATGTGTTCATTACGCTATGGCTAACCTCCACCTGTTTCACCGCACGTCATAATGTCACAGAGATTCCAACCCCATGTGATGGAAAATAGGGAGTAATTATTAGCGCCGAAGGCGCGAGCTTCTAGGGGGGACTGGGGGCATGCTCCCCCGGGAAATTTTGCAAATTTAGGTTCTCTCAAGTTCCATTTCCTGAATTTTGACATCATTCCGGCCTGAGTTATAACATACCATAATGCTTTTCACGAAGAAAGTAAGTATAATATGAGTGCTTCACAGTGACAGATCGCCAAAAATTCTTAAGATTAGCAATTTTTTCCTAGTTTTCAGAATTTTATAATAAATCGGGAGAATTTGGTAAAAATCGGGAGAGCGGGAGGCAAGAGATCAAATCGGGAGACTCCCGATCAAATCGGGAGGGTTGGAATCTCTGATGTCATGTCCTAGTCATAATGTACGCGGGGCTAACGTTTTCTTGTTAGGCCGAATAGGCTATTGACTCAGAGGCCATGAGGGCGAGAGGAATAATCAGGGGCACCCAACGACAATTTTCGGAAAATATCTGTTCGGAAGACGATTTGAGATCTAGAATTTTCGGAACATTTGTTGTAAAATTTTTTGCTTGCCTGCCTCTCCTAGGATTTTCAAACATCTAAAAACTACTATAGTTGCCGATTTTTAACGGATTTTTACCCTTAAAAGGTCACCTAGAATTTTCGGGAGCCTTTTTTCTGGCTGAAATTTTCGAAAAGGTAAGTTTTGATCCCTATAATTTTCGGATCACTAGACTTTCAGCTAGGAAATCCAAACAGATGAAAAAATTTAGGGGATAAAAATATGCCTATATCTACCGTTTAAATACTAAAATACATTTAACAATGCTATGTTTAAGTGGTTTTGAACTATATTCTCGTTGGGTGCCCCTGAACAATTGTTTTCGTAAAATCTAACTAGTTGGTCAAAAATATCGAGACAAAACAACTTTAGCTAGCAAAACACGGTTCAGCCGCCATTGTTTCGGTTTTCAAAGCCGGCGCTTTTCGCTACTAGAGGGTTATAACATATAGCCTAGCAGTAGTTCAACCAATCAGAACGCAGCATTGATAAGAGACCACCAGTTAGATTTTACTAAAATGATATACGCGGGGCTGTGCATAAATGTTATAAAATATAGCATGGTTAAAGTCTCAGCTGGTGATTACCATGGGAAAGTATCGTCGACTAAAAACGGTTTTCCTGCTAAATAATATATCCTTAATATCCCTATTGAGAATTCGGGCTCCGAATACAATCAATTTTCGTCGAGAAAGGAGGCAAAAAAATTTTTGTTTTGCCTAATTTCTGGCATATCTATCGCTTTAGAGCCCAATTGCTACAGTTTACATTTGCCGTGTGTATTAGAGCAAAAGCCGTGAAAGAAAAACAACTTGGAGGAGACTATTTTGGGCTAATATTTCGATCTTTTTAGTTGAGTGTTGTAATTAGTTATTATAAATAACGTAATGCTTTTAATTAATAGTTGTTCCTGAAAAGCCCCTTTGGGGAGGTAATAATGAAGTATTGTGTATGTATATATCCGGCGATAATTTGGCCGAGAATATTGGACAGGGAGTTTAGCCATGTATATATCAGAATTGCACATTTGCAAACTGATTATTAAATTATTAATGAGTACGGAACACATGTTTCCAAGTCGGTTCGTATTTTGCCAACTATCAGCACCTTAACTTAACATAGCATCTGTTTCGACTCCAGAATCCTATCTTTAAATGGAGGGCTGGTACTATCACTATATATTACCTTGCCTTGACTGGCTACAAGTTGAAAAACGTACTAATTTTAATAGTTAAAATACATAACGCAAAAAACTCAACAATGACACGCAACTGAAAAATAGAATTTCATAAGGCAAGAACCAGATGGACATGCATGTGGGGAGCCTTGCAGGCCGTTTCTGAAAAAGTTCGCTTTGCTTGTTGAGACTGTGAAAACCTTCATGATCGAGACACTTCAGCCGACAAAGCTCTTCGTCAAGTCTTCATCAAGTTATGAACAATGAGTACGGCAGACAATTTCTATTCGACGCTCATGATAAACTTCGTCTTAAATTCCTTCTTATGTTTCACCGCCACTGCATTCAATCTTGTAACGATCCTCGCGCTGAGAAAACTGAGCTCCTCGACATTACCGAGGAATTTGAGAACCAAGCTTCTGAGTCTTGCTGTTTCTGATCTTGGTGTTGGCTTGTTTGTCCAACCTTTGAATACTGCAAGGCTTTTCATGATGATAGAACAAAAAGATCAAACTCGAACGTTTGAGATTACGTCGAACATTTTTTACCTCACGGGGAATTTTCTCTTCTATAGTTCTTTTTTTGGTGTTATGGCTCTAACCATAGACAGATTTTTGGCAATTCGTCTTCATCTCCGATACCAGGAACTTGTAACTCATAAGTGCATTGCTGCTTTGGTCACTTCGATTGTGATTTTGAGCTTAATTCTGACGATACTAGTGAAGTGGTCTCCACGAAAAATTTCCTCCACTGTTACAGTAGCTATTGAGTTTCTTTGTTACATAACTACAGTCTTCTTTTATGTCAAGATTTATTTAGCCTTACGACACCACAAAAATCAAATTCATGCTCTGCAAGCCCAGCAAGCCCAGAATAGGGAAGCTATAGCGAATGCTGCGAGGGATAGAAAAGCGGCAGTTGGTACATTTTACTTGTATCTTGTGTTCGTCGTTTGTTATCTACCAATCACGTGTCATTGGGTTACATCTCAAATTAATGGGCCAAGTGCGGTATTAGGGCAGTTTAGACTTTATGCTAGCACAATGGTGCTCTTTAATTCCTCTCTCAACCCAATGATCTACTGTTGGAAGTTAAGACATGTTCGACATGCTATCAGGAGCGTGTTACCATGTTAAAACACCTTAGTCAAAACTGAGCTGTCAAACACCACAAGAAAAGACGTTGTACATCTGTTTGAAGATTTCGATTCTTCGCCAGTTCAATACGTTCTGGTACTTTTTGAAAAGACATTGCCCTAATGGAAGTTGTTGTAAACTTTTAGACTGACATGGATTATTTATAAATCCATGATGCACTGTCGCTAAGACACGCGAAGGTTATGTAAAATCTGTCGGTTTAAACAACACCAGACTTGAAGACTAAAAATTTGAAATTAGCCTTCAAAAATAAGTTTTGTTTAAAAAAAAAAGGGAAAGAGAAATCGAGTAATATAAGATTATTAAAGAGATATGGACATCACTATGAGTTAGCCTGCATTCCGAAGTATTTAAACAAAAAAAAATATGGAAAAATGAATTTTGCTTTAATAGGGCACGCGGTTTGCTGTATTTCATTTGATGTAATACTAAAATATAGCATGACAAATCTGTCAAGTTTATAAATTTAAAACCAAGGGAGATAATTACTTTTGTACATACACACACATAAATAATACATAAATAAATTCAGTTAATTCAGCTTGGAACTGAAATTTCTAATTGTCCAATGCAAATAAAAGGTGTTTATTGCAGATTCTTTGTATTGGTCTCCATCACTTCTTCACAGAACGTCTGGCTAGTCCCATTGTGGCCTCAGTGACTATTCGCTAAAGTTGAATAATATTGTCAATCCTAGCCAAAACCAGTCCATTTTGTTTTGCTAACTATGAATTTTATCACAATAGTTCCAAAACTAATGAAAATGCGATCTTAAATGTCAAAAACATCAGCTGTCGGCGTCCTTTAATTATCGGCACTTTCGATAAAAGTTTCCCAGGTTACCGCACTGGTGGCGCGAAAAATGTGGAGCACAGGAAATCATGAAAAGGTTTAAGATTTTTCCGCGTTTTAGAAAAATTAGCGAAGAAATATGCTCTCGTCGTTATGAATTACCCAAGGATTTGTTTAGAGTAATGAAGAAGTGTTGAATGCAAAATTTAGCCCACTTGTTACTTTTTTATTTCCGTATTTTGTTTACTTGTTCGTTTGTTGTTTGGGGCGGAATTTGTACCTTTTTTTTTTTTCATTTTTTTAGGGGTTTATGCTTCCGTTATAGGAGGAGCTGACTCGCGTTCTTTGCGCAGGGAACCTTTTACAAATTTCATTGAAGAAGAATTTTTTGCTTCCAATATTTAAACGTTCATGAATTTATATTTTTGATACGTGCGTGAGTTTCGCTGTGATTTGTGATTTGAGAGGTCTGCGGAAGCTCGAGCTTATTGGTTTATGTTGTGCCCGAGGAGTTTAGGCCCATCTGTGCCCAAGTTTAAGGAACCTTTTGTGACTGAGTGTATCAGGGACCATCTGTGCCCACGTGTAGGGGACTATCTGTGCACAAGTGTATGGGACCATCTGTGCCCAAGTGTAAGGGACCATAGGTACCCAAGTGTAAGGGACCATCTGTGCCCAGGCATATGCGACCATCTGTGCTCAGCACTTAAGGATTTGCTCCGTTTCATTATAATATGTTTGTTGATTATAGGGACCTTTTGTGTCAGTCATGTCTAACACTGTCAACATGATACGAGTGGAAAAATACTTTTCACAACTTGTAAAGCGTAAAAGTTGTCGAGACTTGACATGCAGAGTTTTCGAGTCGAAAATGCATCTCATTAGTTGACTGGGGACGGCATCGAAGTTGTCGAGTCGTACGAGCACAGGTAACCCAGGCTCTGTGATAGTACCACAGTACGGTTCCAGTAAAATTACAGTGTTTGTATGGGGTAAAAATATCATCCTAAAATTTCTAGGAAATACTACATAAAGATCAACGAAACTTACTCTGCAGTTAATTGTTGTTGTCCTTATGGCTCCAACGAAGTTTCGTGATAATTTGCAGTAATTTGTTCAAATTCATTCTATCTACAATAATAATATACAAGGTAGGAAACACGACGTGCCATTTTCGCCGACATGCTCTCATTCAACACAACTTTTTCCACGAAATTCGAACTCCAACGGAAAATAAACATGCCAGGATCGTAGAAATAGGATAGCAGCAGATATAGAAACCAATGAAGCTTTCCCAGATAGAGAAACGAATCCCACAGACTCTGACAAACTCGAAGAATATAATCCAAACACACCGAGAATACGCTCGCCGAAGCAGCCGGGCCAGATCAACGCGCGGTCAAGAAAATGAAGCCTGGGCACTGTACAAAAAAATTCCATCCCGGGGGTCCTGGGGTGACCTTTCTAGGGACCGATACATCATTTGCCCAAGGCCATCCTCCCCTGCTGGAAAAATACTTGATAGAAGGCAATTGTTCTTCCTAGCCAATCACCATTTGCCAGAGCAAACCCAGCACACGCGCCTGAATTTAAATGGCTAAAAAAAAGTAATATAATCAGGAGAGTCTGCGGAGTTACAAGGCGTCCCATTTCTTTTACTAAGGAATGCAAATAACAGTAATGAAACTAATGAAATAACAACGCGAAATGCTTACAAGGCGGGCTAAAAACAAGGTTGAACAAAAGGTACATGATGACTGAGATACTGTTGCTGTGAACTCTCGAGCGAAACTATCGTAAATAAACGGTGAAGCTTACAAACTAATGTCAAAAATTATACAGAAAATTGCGACAGAATATGAATTGCGATAACTGAGACGAATGTGAAAGGCACGTGCACTAGTAAACAAAGAACTAGCGCGATTAACATATTTAGCGATTAATGCGGCAGTAACACGCCGACTTCTTGTCAATACAAGTGAACGCTCTATCGGTTAAATATGTGAATCATCGTGATACACCTCTCTTTGAATTTGGTCCCGTTGTACAAATGCCTCGGTAAGAGCCAAAATTCACTTATATCTTTTGCTCGTTTTAAGTTTTGTAAATCGTCCTTCGTTGTTCTTTCCTTTGCCCTTATAACCTTGCCCTATTGATGTTTGATAAACTTTCTGAGGACCAGCGCCAGGAGCTGAATATAGTTCGAGAGGAAAATAATCTCTTTATAACAGGCCATAGTGATTGCCTAGGAAGAACAATTGCCTTCTATCAAGTATTTTTCCAGCAGGGGAGGATGGCCTTGGGCAAATGATGTATCGGTCCCTAGAAAGGTCACCCCAGGACCCCCGGGATGGAATTTTTTTGTACAGTGCCCAGGCTTCATTTTCTTGGCCGCGCGTTGATCTGGCCCGGCTGCTTCGGCGAGCGTATTCTCGGTGTGTTTGGATTATATTCTTCGAGTTTGTCAAAGTCTGTGGGATTCGTTTCTCTATCTGGGAAAGCTTCATTGGTTTCTATATCTGCTGCTATCCTATTTCTACGATCCTGGCATGTTTATTTTCCGTTGGAGTTCGAATTTCGTGGAAAAAGTTGTGTTGAATGAGAGCATGTCAGCGAAAATGGCACCTCGTGTTTCCTACCTTGTATATTATTATTGTAGATAGAGTGAATTTGAACAAATTACTGCAAATTATCACCAAACTTTGTTGGAGCAATAAGGACAACAACAATTAACTGCAGAGTATGTTTCATTGATCTTTATTTAGTATTTCCTAGAAATTTTAGGATGATATTTTTACCCCATACAAACACTGTAATTTTACTGGAACCGTACTGTGGTACTATCACAGAGCCTGGGTTACCTGTGGTACGAGCGGCCGAGTTGCCTCTCTGTCTGTCGAGTAGAAAATGAATCTCAT